GGAGCGGGGGGGATCCGGGGGCGGGGGGGGACACGGGGAGCGGCTCTCGGGCCGGCTAATGAGGTGGGACGGGGGAGAGACAGGGGATAGATGAACCCAGAGCAGCGAGGGGTGGCGGGGGGTCCGCAGAGCCCCCCACCTGCAGAGCCCCCTCACCAGCAGAGCCCCCCCAAGCCCCTCACCTCGTTCTCAGAGGAGCTGGCGGAGAGGAAAACCTCGCAGGCATCGAAGAACTCGGTGTGGGAGTCGGCCAGCGAGACGATGCTGCGGTTGGAGAGCTGCTGCTCCCGGCCCTTGGCGGGCAGCGCGTCCGGCTGTGGGGACAGCCACCGGCTCAGCCCCCGCCCCAGGGGGACCACGGCACCCCCAGGCCGCCCCATCCCACCCCCCTGACCTCGTCCGGGTGCAGCGAGGCAAAGGAGTCCAGGGTGGTGTCGGAGGAGACGGACAGGGAGTGGAAGCGGCGGAGGGCGGGCTGTGGGAAGGGCGAGGCTGAGCCGAGCCCCCCCGGCCGGTCCCCTCCAGCCAGGGCAGGGCTGGCAGGGACAGGGGACCCCCAGCTCCCTGCTGAGACCCCTAGAGCAGCACCCCAGGGCCCCGTGCCCCCTCACCCCCGCGGTGCCCGCGCTGCCGGGCCGTGGGGCCGGGCACTGCCGGTCCAGCGCCTGCCGCATCTCCTCCAGACGGGCCCTCTCGGCCACCAGCGCGGCCACCACGCTGCTCAGCGAGCCGTGCACTGCCGGGGGACACGCTGGGCGTCAGCCTGAGGGTCCCAAAACCCGCCCTGGGACCCCCGGGCAGGCTCAGCCCCCGCCCCATCCCACCTTTCTGGGCCAGGACCCAGAAGCTGCGCTGCAGCTGGCTGTACTCCGGGGGCACACTGAAGGGCAGCTGGCTCTGCGACGCCTCCAGGTAGCGGGACAGGTTGGGGACAGAGCCGTGCAGGCGGCCCACCTGGGGGGACACGGGGCTCAGCGGGGTCTCCCGGGGGGCTCCGTGCCCAGGCGGTGGCAGAGCTCGGCGCGGGGGGTCCAGCTCACCCTCACCCTGCCGATGGTGTCGTCCTTGGCGAAGCTCTGCGTGCACCAGATCTTGGTGCTCCTGCGGCCCTTCTTCGGCCTCTCCGTGGCAGCTGAGGGCTGTGAGGGAGAGGAGGGGGCTGCAGCCGGACCCTCCCCAGGAAGGGGGGGCACGGGACCCCCTCCCTCACCTGGCTGCGGCTCTCACCTGGCTGCCGGCGATGAGCGGGGCCGAGGGGATGCGGTGCAGGGCCTCCAGGTGCTGCAGCATCCCCGTCAGCTCCTGCAGCTTGGCCTGGCACTCCGACAGCTCTGCCAGGGGCACAGAGGTCAGGGAGGGGGCACGGGGACCCTGCCCGGCCCCACGCAGCCCCTCGGGCCCCGCTCACCGGCCGAGCAGCGCTCCAGCCCCTCGCTGTCCTTCAGCCAGGCGTTCACCTTGTCCCGGGGGCTGGCCAGCGTGGACAGGGCAGGGGCACTGCCCGAGGGCAGGATCCGTGTCCACTGGCCCTGCAGCCGGGCACAGAGGGCACCGATCGCTGTCAGCAGCCGCTGCCCAGGCCCTGCCTGGCGCTGTCACCCCGAGCTGCCACCCACCTGCGTGCTGGTCCCCGTGGGACCCCCGGGGGGACACGGCCCCGGCCGCTCGCCGTGGTGGTGCCTGCACAGGCTGCTCACCCAGCTGGAGAACACCTCCGGGGACTTGATCTGGGGGACAGGGCCGAGTTGGAGGGGACACCAGCTGATGGCCCCAAGCCTGTCCCAGCCCAGCCCCGGCCTCCCAGTGGCACCTTGAGGTGATAAATGTTGTCCTCTGTGTCCAGGTCAACCCTCTGAGCCTTCTTGTTGACGGACATGACGGACTGCCGGACATCGATGGCACCATGCAGCTTGCCCTTGAGGACCTGGGGGAGCCCAGGGACGCCTGTCAGGGGGAAGACCCCCTTCCTCAGGGGGGCCACGGGGGTGTCCCCAGCCCTGAGCCCCCGGGGAGGCTGCGTGGCCACAGCCTGGGCACACACTCACGTCCTGGCGCGTGGTGGAATATTTCAGGATCCCGTTTTCCAGCACGAAGTACCGCTGGGGATGGAGGGGAAAGGTTTATTCTGGGAGGGGGTGCAGACAGCAGCCCCCACAGCCAGCCCCCCTGCCCAAATCCTGCCAGACCAGCCGGGACCGCGGCTCCTGGTGCCAGCTCAGCCTGTTACCTTGTGCCAGCCCTTCAGGGGCCATTTCCTCTTCTTGAGCAGGTACCCCTCGTGCCGCTGCGGCTGCTGCCCGGGGCTGCCCCGGGCACGGGGCTCCTCCACCACCTCCCAGCTCTCTGAGCCCTGCGGGGACGGGGGTCAGCGTGGGGGTCCCTGAGCACCAGAGGTGCTGCCCACCTTGTTCCCAGGCAGGGACATTTGGTACCCACAGGGGCATCATCCTAAAGCAGGGGGAAGCCCCCAAAGCCTCCCTGTGGTCATTGTGAGCCCCCCAGATCCAAATCCAAATCCAAACCTGCTGGATGCTGCTGTGCTTGGAAGACACGGTGCTGTTGGAGCGGGACAGGGCCCTTTTCGGGGAGCACGGGTCCTTCTCGTGGCTGCCCATGGCCGGCGAGCAGCGGGGGCAGGGGGCACCGGGCCGAGCCCCCCCTCGCGTCCGGGCTGCGGGGCCGGGGCTCCGAGCTCGGCCGTCACGGCGGGAGCCGCTGCGGGGAGGGGACGGCGGGTCAGGGGGCTCCGGGACGGCAGCGGCAGCCCCGCTGGGACAGGGGGCGGCGGGGGTGGCCCCGTGCCCAGCCCCCGAGGGGCTCTGCATGGCACCGCCGCTGGCACCGAGAAACTTCTGCGTGAGCCGAGCCTTTGACCCGCCCAGCGTTATCTCGGCTGTGCCACCCAGTCCGGGTCCAGAGTCCGGCCCCGCGGAGCGGCGGGCACGGGGCACAGCCAGGAGGGCGACACCGCGGCGAGGACCGGGCTCGGCCCCTGCTCCATCCGGCACCGCCGAGCCGGGACACGACCCCGCCAAACCCGGCTCGGCGTCTGCTCCCTTTGCCCTTCACGATTCCAGAGGGGGAAACTGAGGCACGGGCAAGCTTCTCCTGGCCTTGCCATCCCCCTTGGCGCTGTCCCTGACGGGGCATGTGTGAGTCCCGGCCGCTGCCGTAGGACGGATCCCGGGATAACCCGGGACAGCGGCCAAGCCCTGGCACCGGTGACCACCGTGCCGGTAACCGCGGCACCGGTCACCGCCGTAGCGACGGCCACGGCGCCGGTAACCACGGCACCGGCAGACAAGCACGCTGCCTTAGATAACCCGGCACCGGTACCGGCGGCTCCGAGGGGAGGGCACCGGGGGTCTCCCGGTTCTCTCCCGCAGGTGCTGCCGGGGATCGGCACCGACCCCTGGCAGTGGAGCGGGGCTGCGCCGGTACCCCCGGGGGGCTCCATCCCCCGCGCGGGGCAAAGCCCATCCCCGTGTCCCCGCGCCGGTGTCACCCCCCGGGGCAGCGGGGGCCGGGGGTGGCGGGGCCGGCCGGACCGTGCCCCGTGCCGGTGGCCGGTGCTCACCTGGGCGGGCGGCGGGCGGGCGGCGGGGGCCGGTCGCATCCTGCCCGGCGGCGGCGGCAGGAAGCGGAACACGGAGGGCGGTCCGGAGCCGCTCGGCTCTGCCCCCTGCTCCGTGGAGGACCGGAGCCGCCAGCGCCGGGAGCCGCCGGGACACCGGGAGCGGGCACGGCCCGAGCGCCCGCACGGAACCGGGGCGGCTCCGGAGCCCAGCCCCGGGGAGAGGGGTGGGGGGACCCCCGCGAGAGGCAGCACCGCACGGGGGTCCCGGGGTTGGTCATCCCACGGGGGTCCCGGGAATCACCGAGCCGCGGGGGTCTCGGAATCACCGACCCGCGGGGGTCTCAGGGATCACTGACACACGGGGGTCCCGGAATCACCGAGCCGCGGGGGTCTCAGGGATCATTGACACACGGGGGTCCCGGAATCACCGACCCGAGGGGGTCTCAGGGATCATTGACACACGGGGGTCCCGGAATCACCGACCCGCGGGGGTCTCAGGATGGATGTCTGAGGGTCTCAGGATCACCATCCCATGGATGGCTTGGGGATTGCCAACCCGAGAGGGTCTCAGGGATCACTGACCCAGCGGGAATCAGCAGCCTATGGGGGTCTCAGGATCACCATCCCGTGGGGGTCTCAGGGCTGCTCCTCCCATGGAAATCCCGGGAATCACCACCCCGTGGGGATCCCGGGAATCGCTGACCCACACACGGGGGTGTCCGGGATCACCCCTCCAAGGTGGTCCCGGCGCATTCCCACCCTGGGATTTCCCTCTCCCACCCCAACTCTGCTCCCTCGGACCCCCGGAGCAGCCCTGGCCTCCCCCCCACCCTCGGGGGGCAGGAACAGCCCTCACCCACCCCCCAAAATCACAGACGAGGCCTCGGCAGTTCCACACAGACACTTTAATGGACAGGCCAGCGACCCCGGCGTGGGATCAGTGTCACAGCACACCCCCAGCCCCAAGGCACGGGGCTTGGAGTGCCCAAAATCCCCCCTGGAGGGTCCATCCCGCGCTCCTCCTCCTCTGGCTGCTCCCAGAGAGCCCCGGTCACAGCTGGAACGCTGCTGGGATGATCCCAGGGGAGCACAAGGGAACGGCCACGACTCCCTGCTGGGGCTGGGGGGGCCACAGGACCCTCAGCGTCAAACCTCCAGCCCCTGACCCCCCTCTGTGGAGCTGCAGAATTCCATGGGAATTGTGTCCGTGATCCTTCAACCCCTCATCCGGGGGGCTCCAGGGAAGGAACTGGTTGCCAGTTTCCAACGTCAGTGGCTGCCCGCGGCTGTGCCCGTGCCCCGCAGCCGCCGGATGTGCTGGTCCAGCAGCGCCGCGAGGCGAGCGGGGCCCTGCTGCAGCAGGGACGAGGTCTGGGAGCACGGCAGGGACAGGGCTGCCACCGTCTGCCCCCGGCACACCTCCAGCGGCGGCAGCCGGGCCAAGGTCTCCACGCCCTGCCGGCTCAGGATGGTGTCGTCGATGCAGGCGCCTGGAAAAGGGAGATCGGGATGGGCATGGAATTCCAGAGCCCAATGGGAGGGGGTGGGGAGATCGGGATGCGCATGGAATTCCAGAGCCCAGTGGGGAGGGGGTGAGGAGCTAGGGGTGGGTGTGGAATTCCAGAGCCCTCTGGGGAGGCACTGCTGGTTCCTGCAGGCTGCCCTCCCCTCTCTGCATGGATGCAGCTCTGTCAGGGGGCCTCATTCCCAGCCCTGGGCTCACATTCCCAGTCCTGAGGAGCCTCCGGAGCCCCCTGCGCCCCCATTCCCAGCCCTGGATGAGCCCCCCAAGCCCCAGTCCCTCACTCCCAGCCCCGTGCCCCCGTTCCCAGCCCCAGTCCCCCGTTCCCAGCCCCGTGCCCCCGTTCCCAGCCCCAGTCCTGCAGGCTGCCCTCCCCTCTCTGCATGGATGCAGCTCTGTCAGGGGGCCTCATTCCCAGCCCTGCGCCCCCATTCCCAGTCCTGAGGAGCCTCCGGAACCCCCTGCGCCCCCATTCCCAGTCCTGAGGAGCCCCCCAAGCCCCAGTTCCCCTTTCCCAGCCCCGTGCCCCCGTTCCCAGCCCCGTGCCCCCGTTCCCGGCCCCGTGCCCCCGTTCCCAGCCCCGTGCCCCTGTTCCCAGCCCCGGCTGCTCCCGGCTCGGTGCTCAGGGGCAGGGGAGGCTCTCACCCAGCAGGTTGACCTGTGGCACCCCCTTGAGCACCCGCAGCATCTCCCTGGCGCGCGGCTCCGGGCTCACCAGCAGGATGTTCCGGCACACGAACAGCGGCAGCAGGTTCCTCCACTTGGACTGCGCCAGCACCGGCCGGGCAACCTGGGCACGGCCCGGGGTGAGAACGGGGACACCGGGACAGCCCGGAGCCACCGGGACACCCCGGAACCACTGGGACACCCCTGGAACCACTGGGACAGCCCGGAACCACCGGGACAGCCCGGAACCACCGGGACACCCTGGAACCACTGGGATACCCTGAAACCACCGGGACAGCCCCTCCAGAACCACCGGGACAGCCCGGAACCACCGGGACAGCCCGGAACCACCGGGACACCCTGGAACCACTGGGACAGCCCGGAGCCACCGGGACACCCTGGAACCACTGGGATACCCTGAAACCACCGGGACAGCCCCTCCAGAACCACCGGGACAGCCCGGAACCACCGGGACA